AAACCCATTCCTCCAATTCTTCATTTAAAGAACTCCTTTTGGCCTTAAAATACTCTTATTTAGAACACTTCTCTGATTCTTAATTCTCATTTACATGCAATTCCTCTATACTACTATGTCTCTTGTGTATCTTCATACTGTGATCATTAATTCACAAAGCAGTCTTACAGCTCAACTGCAAGCTCCCGAACGGCAGTGGGCCATGTCTTTTTGGACAATGCATGACATAATCACAGGCATTCATTTATTTTCATAATAAAGGACTCTTGGCCACGAAAGTGGTCAACATTCTACTTTAAATGGCTCTTCAGAATGATTTTGCTTTTTGCTAAGATTTACACGTTTTCAATAAGCTCTTTTCAATTCAGCTGATCTTTCCTGTCTTCTGGAGCACTCAACGTCTATTACTTCTAAGATGCCTCGTGAAGCAACTTGTTAGTTGATTCTTCTGTAATTAAGGCAGGTGATACCACTGTTGTTTCTAACTTGTCAAATTAGAGTGAGTGAATATCCAGCTTTTTCCAATTAACCAACAAAAACTCTGAGTAAATTTCTTGAAGAACCTAAGATTATCTTTAACAGCTCTACTGAGATATAATTTACATATCTTTCACCCGTTTAAAGTGTACAGTTAAAAGTTTTTAGAATATTCCCAGAGTTGTACAACCATCACCACAATACCTTACTCCTTTCTATTGCCAAATAATATTCCATTGTACGGATATACCACATTTATTTATCCATTCATCAGTGATAGCTATTTGGATTGTTTCCACCCTTTGACAACTATGAATATTGCTGCTATGAACATCCGTGTACAAGTTTTTGTATGAAAAATATGTCTTTTAAAGAACCCAAACATTTATACCATGATCAATGTGTAGTAAATTAAAGAAGACAGATTCCTTCACAAAGTGGTTTTAAAGAAGCCCCAAACCTCCAATCATTCTCAAACTGCCTACTTTATTCCTCTGAGAAGTCATATTAAGAAAGGAAGTAAGCAGAGGGGGAGAAGATAATTGAATACATAAGACAGGTACTTAGAAAGTAAAAAGAACTACTATAAATCAATATGAAAAAAATAGAAAATGGGCAAAAGACTTGAAAAGGCACTTGACAAAAGAGGAAATCCAAATTGGCAATGAACATATAAAAAGGTGTTAACTTCATTAGCCACCAGGGAAATGCAAATTAAAAGCACAATACCACTATACACCCACCAGCAAGGCTAGATGAAAAAGAAAACAGAAGTGTTGATTGATGAAGACATGGAACGACTAGAACACTCCAACACTGCTGGTATGGACGTAAATTGTACAACCATTTTGGAAAGCTGACTGGCAATATCTGCAAAAGTAGAATATATGCATATACCCTTTGACCTACCAATTCCACTCCTAGGTTTATACTCAAGAGAAAGCAGGCATGTATGTTCACCAAAAGATATGTAAGAGAATGAAGAGTGCTACAATAAACATAATGGTCGCAAACTGGAGACTACTCAAACGTCCCTTAATAGGAAAAAGATAAATTGTGGTATAGTTATAAAATGAAATACTAATGAGAAGGAATAAAATACACACAACAATATGGCTCAATATCACAATATAATGCTGATTGGAAGAAGCCAGACACAAAAGAATACATACTGTATATTCCAATTACAGTCAGTCGAAAAACAGACAAAATTAATCTTTGGGATTAGAAGTTAGAACAGGTGGTTATCTCTGCAGGGAGACAGCAATTGGTAGGGAGAATGAGAGGGACTTCTGGGGTGCTAGTAATTTCTGGTTTTGATCTGGGTGCTGGTTATCTGGTTTGTTCAGTTTGTGAAAATTTTGTGAGACTTTACTTTCTGAAAATACCTTTATTGTACTCTAACAGTTGAATGAGAGTATGGTGGGATTTAGAATTTTAAGTTAAAATAATTTATTCTGAGACCTCTGATGATACTACTATTGTCTTCTAACTTTCAGAGTTGTTGTTAAAACGGCTGATACTATTCTGATTCCAGACCTTTTGTACAGACTTGTTCTTTGTCCCTGAAAGCCCTTCTCTTTATCCCTGGTGTTGTAAAATTTCATAATGAGCTTTGGTGTGGGTCTTATTCACAATGCTGGGCATTTTGGGCCCTTACATCTAGAAACACATGCTCTTCAGTTCTGGGGAAATTTCTTAAATTATTTCTTTGATAATTTCCTCACCTTCATTTCCTTTCTTCTCTATGAAACTATTTTTAGCTGGATATTGGGCCACCTGAATTAATTATCTATTTTCTCATCTTTTCTGTCCTATTTTTTTCCTTCCTCTCTCCCTCCCTCTTTCTCTCCCTCCCTTCCTTCCTTCTTTCTAACCATCCATCCATCTGTCCATCCATCCACCCATCCGTAATCTCTAGTCTTTTGGGGAAGTTAGCTTTATCTTCCAAATTTTCTTTGAATTCTTAATTTCTATTACATATTTTATTTCCAAGATCAACTCCCCATTTTTCCTTCCTTGCTTGGCATCCAAATATTGTTTCATGGATATCACTGTCTTTTGTTACTTTGAGGATGTAATTTTTTGGAATTTTGCTCCTTCTTATTATTTTTCCCTTTAAATTCCCTTTTTATCTTTCTTTTTTTAAAATATTTATTTATTTATTTGGTTGTGCCGGGTCTTCGTTGCAGCAGGCAGGCTCATTAGTTGTGGCATGTGAACTCTTGGTTGCGGCATGCATGTGGGATCTAGTTTCCTGACCAGGGATAGAACCCGGAACCCCTGCACTGGGAGCATGGAGTCTTAACCACTGCACCACCAGGGAGGTCCCCTTTTTTATCTTTCTTGTTTTATTTTTATGTAAGAGGTTTTCCACAAATATCTAGTGCTCTTTGTATGTTTGTTTATATTTAAAAGTGAAGCACTAAAAAAATGCATACTTAGTGGACATCTAAATGGTCTGATACAAGCAAGGTACCTGCCATTTCTTTGGTAGAACCCGAATATCTGAGACTCTAGGTCTTTCCTCTTAGGCTTAGTTTCTCCTGAGAAGAATCCTCTATTACCCTATTCTATCAGCATTTTGGGAACCAAGGAATAAAGAAAAGAGAATTGGAGGGGTAGATGGTGGGGTATGGCCTCACCATTCAGCATATATGCTTTCACTTAACCTGTTTTCAGACTAGAGGCTTATTCCTACCCTTTTGCTGTATCTGGCAAACCCGAGTCCAGAGAGTATCTGATTTAGTTTCTTCCATCTCTTGCTAGGTTGAAGAGGGAAAGGGGATGGATTATAGCTAATTATTCCTGATATAAACCTTCAAAGAATTCTCCCATTTTAAGCCCTTCTCCTTACCCTTGCTTTCAGAGTTAACCAGTTTTCTCCAAACACTCAGGCTTTCAAGAACTGTGTAGTTCAAACTGGCCTCCTCTCTACAGGTACTTACATTTCAGCTTTCTCTGCTTTGCTGTCAGTTACCAACCATGTATCGGTTTTCGAGCTTCTAAAAATCTGTTGCTCTCTCTCATTTGCTATTGTCTCTTCTATAGAGCCTCTTTGTGTTTGTTTTTTACATTTATTTTTTTAACGTAAATGTTTTAATGGGATTTAGAAAGGAGTGGATATAAACACATTTACTCTTAATAATTATTTATTGAGCACTCATTATATGCCAGAAGTATTATAGGCCTTGGGGACACAATAGTAATAGAGAAGTATAAAAAACAAAAAAAAATTTCTTTTCTCAGAGAGCTAACATTCTAGTTAAGGGAGACAGATACACAGGTAAAAAAAATAATACAGGTATTTCTTACCATCCGAACTTTCACTACTCGAATTCAAGAACCAAAAAGATTCGGAAACAGTTCTAGGTAAGTCTCTTGTTATCTTAACATCTGCTACTTTTTATCTTAAACTCAGGAGCTAAGTTGATTAGAATAACAGATATGCCTCAATATTCCAACTAGTCAGAATCAAGAACTTAATAGATTTAGATGACCAGGGATACCTGCATATAAGATTTGGTAGTGATGAGGGCTCTAAAGAAAATAAGGAACAAGAAGGAGGTGTGAGAATGGGCAGGAAGTCAGGGAAGACCTTTCTAACGATACCAGCCATGTAGATACCTGAGAAAAAGACAACAACGTTTCATGTACAGGGAATCCTAAGTGCAAAAATTCTGAGCTAGGAGTGTGCTTGGCATTTTTGTGGAACAGCAAGGAAGACAGTGTGGTTGGAGTGGACTGAATGAGTGGGAAAGTAATAGGGGATGAAATAAAAGAGGAAGCCAGGAGTCAGATCATATAGGGCCTGTGGACTATGATAAAGACTTGCCTTTATTCTGAATGAGTTGGGAAACCATTAGAGGCTTTTGAAGGTTGTTTCAAAAACGCCACTCCAGGGCTTCCCTGGTGGCGCAGTGGTTGAGAGTCTGCCTGCCGATGCAGGGTACACGGGTTCGTGCCCTGGTCCGGGAGGATCCCGCATGCCGCGGAACGGCTGGGCCCGTGAGCCATGGCCGCTGAGCCTGCGCGTCCGGAGCCTGTGCTCCGCAACGGGAGAGGCCACAACAGTGTGAGGCCCGCGTACCGCAAAAACAAAACAAAAACCAAAAAACCAAAAAACACCATCCTAATTAGCCTGAAAAACAGCAATATTAAAAGAAAAAAACCCATAAGGGGAACAATGATGTTAATTACCAGTACTGTCCACATATATTTATCACTGACTATGTTCTAAATAAGTCTCTGAAATTCTAGGGGTATGTTTCCTAGAGAATGAGTTCTTGATTTTTCAATTGCATTGTGACTTTAACTCCCAAGTAGAAATGACAAAGGGTACTGGTTATCCCTAACTGCAAGAAAACCACAGTAATTTCAACTGTACTCCTGTTTTTAGCTTAACAGCATTAATAAAAGTGTTCATCATAAAATCTACCAATACTTCTTTTATAGTAACAATAGTTAACTGAAGATCACATTATTGTAATTTATTAATTCTTTACTTGGGACAAATAGCTCACCTGGGACAAAAAATTCTGTTGGCATAAACCAATGAAACTCCAAATGAAATCCCAAGTGAATAGCCTTCAAGGTGACAAGAAAAATCAAGTAGAGAACGGACACTGTGCCTGTAAGGAAAAATTCAGAAACCATTTATCAACTTTGTTTTACAGACTATTTCAAAATCAAGTTTTGTTTCTATATTCTCAGCATAGTTTGGAAAATTATTACCTTTGTTGTTTATGCCCACTAAAACCCAGGTAAGATCTAAAGAACAGAAAGAAGCTATGTGAGATATCAAAAGACAAAGCAAAAAACTATGTAGTAGGCCTAAGAAGAACTTATGACCTGAGTTTAGTGGAAGATACATGCAGAGAGTCCATTATAAAATTGTAAGGTTACATAGGAGAGAAAAAACAACCTGAAACTGACTCTTATTCTTTGTATTGAAAGTATTAGAGGGGAATTCCCTGGCGGTCCAGTGGTTAGGACTTCGCTTTCACTGCTGAGAGCGCAGGTTCAATTGCTGGTCGGGGAACTTCAAGATCCCGCAAGCTGTATGGCGTGGCCAAAAAATAAAGAAATAAATAAAAAATTTTAAAATGAAAAGGAACGGGTAAAATTAACTTAAAAAAAAAGTATTAGAGACAGTCAATAAGTTGGAAAAGTCTGTCAAAATATTTAGTATAAGAAAGAAAAAAGAAAGAAAAGTAGTAAATGTGGATTATAAACTTATTTGAGAAAGGCAATAAGCCACATAATCCATGAACAATCTGATCTACTATGTAGATGAAGTTTTGATTGAGCAGTACTACTTGCTAGATGGAAAGATTCCAGATTCCATTCACTTGTGTAAATGCCCACTTTATGCAGGGTAAAGTGGGCATTCAGAATTTCAGGATTTTTTAGTAGTCTAGATGTTAGAGGATTTAAGGAATTAAGTCGTCATTATGGAGTAGAGTCAAGAAATCCAGAAAGGTTTCTAGAGGAATTAGATTCTAATTTCTCTAAAGAAGCTTTATATAGTTTTAAAAGTGAAAGTACCACGAAAAAGAAAAATATCCTCAAGGAGGTAGAGAATAATTAACCTGGTTAGAAGCCTAGTGATTGTTTTGCCCAACTGAACAAATTCTTCTATAAGTTTACATGCTAATTTTTAAAGATCTGTTCCATGGGAAAGTCGGCAAGCAAATCAGGAAACCACAAATGAGCTATATAAGCTCTGCTGTGGGTTTGGAGGTTAGCTGATTCAGAAAGGATGAATATAAGAGGCTAAAGCTTATATAACCACAACTCTTCATTTTCTGTGTGTGTCTGTGGTAGTCAGTCTTACAGTGAATCCTGTTGTGAGGCAGAGGTATAGAGAAATATCCTTACCTCCTCCTTTGGTCTTCTGAAAACCCAAAGCCACCTCCTTGATGTGATGAGTAATCTAATTATTTCATACTCTAGGCCGCCTACCAAGAGGTCAGAACTATAGGGAGGAGGTGAAATCCTATTATCTATTTAGGTTATCAATTCTTTATGAATGATATCCTTGTCTTTAGTTAACCAGATCTGAGCTTTCATAGGGGTTCCTTTTCTAAAACAGGTCTCACAAAAAGAAGTCTGTTCCTTTAAGGAGGCAATAGTGTTCTAAAAAAGAAAAAGCACAGAGGAAGAGAGCAGAAGCAGAATAAACCTAAGGAGCTTCAGCTAGAGAACAATATCCCAGGTTGAAAGTCAAGTGATAATTTTGTGCTATACTCTTAAATAGATACTATAGGAAAAAAATATTCCATAACCTCCCTTAGTAAGTTCTAATATTTCCAACCCTTAGAATTGAGAATTCCTAAATTATCCATAAACTTTGGATCTCTCCTGCTGAAATCTTAGTTTACTTCCTCTAGCTGTTCTCTTAGAGGAAATGAGGAATAGTTGTTCAGTAAGGATAGAATGGAAACCACAGCAACTCATCCTTTTTTCTCTTTTTTTAAATTTGGTTGAACCGGGTCTTAGCTGTGGGAGTTGGGCTCCTTAGCTGCAGCTTGAGGGCTACTTAGTTTTGGCATGCAAACTCTCAGTTGCAGCATGCATGTGGGACCTAGTTCCCTGACTAGGGATCAAACCCAGGCCCCCTGCACTGGGAGCGTGGAGTCTTATCCACACTGTGCCACCAGGTAAGTCCTTTTTTTTTTTTTTTTAATGCACCCAGCAACTCATCTTAAAAAGGGACTTGGACTTGAAATGGTCATCTATATTTTTCTTTTTTTTTAAAGATGATTTTTGATATGGACCATTTTTAAAGTCTTTATTGAATTTGTTACAATACTGCTTCTGTTTTATGTTTTGGTTTTTTTGGCTGCGAGGCATGTGGGATCTTAGCTCCCCCACTAGGGATTGAACCTGCTCCCCCTGTACTGGAAGGTGAAGTCTTAACCACTGGACTGCCAGGGAAGAGCCCATCTATATTTTTCTCTCTTCCAAACTCCATAAAGAAAACCAAAAAGCAGGGTAACATATGCATGAACAAATTAAACATAGATGAACAGGCCTGGAAGGTAAGTATTGATATTTCCCCAGTCAGACCATATTTCCACAGAATCCAGCATGTATTCTACTACACAGAGGCTCTATAACACAGTGCCTTGGCTTACCTAGGATATTAAATTTTGAAAAAAATGAAGGAGATTTGAAATTAAGCAGTGGCAGGAGGAGCCCCATGAGGTAAAAGGGCACTGTCTTGGACTTATTCCACCACTTTTCAAACTGCTGGAGTCCCGAGTCATTGGTGTAGAAAATCATAGAGATCATAGAGCCATTGTCAGGATGGTCACCACTCCTGGCACTTGGACAAATCACTGCAATAGGGAAGTAACAGATTAGGGAAGGCAACAAAGAACAGAAAATTACTACCCCCAAGACTGACACTTATTCTGCCAACCGCAATTTTTACCATGAATGCTAAGTTTCTTCTTTCTGGAAAAAAACAGAGTTATATTTAGATATATTAGGAACCCTTTTTATTTATTTTTATTATTTATTTTTATTGAAATATAGTTGATTTACAGTGTTGTGTTAGTTTCAGGTATACAACAATGCGATTCAGTTATTTATATATTTATATATTCTTTTTCAGATTCTTTTCCATAATAGGTTATTAGAAGATATTGAATACAGTTCCCTGAGCTATACAGTAGGTCCTTGTTATCTATTTTATATATACTTATATTAGAAACCTTTTACCTATAAATAATTGAAGGTAGGAGAATGTTAGAAAATTTTGAGGTATAGCCTTAATTTCTACTTGAAATTATAAAATTATCCTACCAAATATCCTTTGGTCCCATTGCTAGAGAGAAAATACTGGGTTGGATGATATTTGATCCTATTTATATAATAATATAAGAAATATCATACAGGTAATTGTTCACTGTGCTAATAACCCACACAAAGGCCAAAGAACAGGTTTCTTCTAACAATAAACAAAATCTCTGGGTTTGGAATAAAAAGTGGACACCATCAAAACATCTGCCATGGTATTGCCAAAATCTAATTATTGCTTATAGCTTAAGAATCTTGAATTCCAGCAATCCACAGTAACTGTCCTGGACGTTTATCACAACTTGTAGCAGCTTAAGAGCCCAGATGATATCCAGAGAACTGGGAAGCGAGTAAAACGTATTTTTCCTAACACTGATCTTCTGTTAGCAGAGAGAATACAAATCATTCTCACTGTTTCTAGTTTCGTAATAGTACTTTTTCTAATAATCAGCTCTTTGTAAAGAATGTTTAATGCTAGTGAAAAATGCTGACAATTTAATTCATCCGTTATTTCGCATACCACAAAACCAAACAGTTTTCTTTCACCTTTTTTCTTAGCACTTTAACATGCACATTTTTCTTCTATGCTCTGGAGAGAAGTAAATTAACTTTAATTTTTGTGCTAATAACTGTGCTAATAATTACAGTGGTAAAGAGCACAGGCTATGGAAGTATATTGACTGAATAAAGAATCTCGACTCTGTCACTTAATAGTTATGTAACCTTGGGCAAGTCACTAACTTCTCTGTACCTTGGTTTCTGCATAGAAAATGAGAGAAAAGATCTACCTTATGGAGTTGCTGTAAAATATTTAGAACAATGCCTGCACACAGTAAGTATCCAATAAATGTGAGCTGTAATTTTAAATATTAACTGAGACGGACTGTTTCATACTCTATTTAATACACTGTTCAAAATAAACCAAAGAATCAAGAAGTGCTACTATCAACATATCACTATGCAAACTAAACTGACTTTGCTGATGGTGCTCTCCAAATTATCACTGTAATTGTGATATTTATGAACTCAAGTGAAGAAATCCTATTAGATATTAATAAACTAGTTTTATCAATAGATATCACAATAGCTATAGTAAAATGAATTTCTCTTTTAAGACAAGTATGTTACTTGGTCTTTTGAAAATTCTGAGGTAAGGAACAGTGTGCAAGAGATATATGTTTAAATTATACTAAAATACTTTAGTATAATTATTGAAAAGTGTGTATGTGTGTGTTCACAGAAATAAAAGCTGATACTTCACTCATTTTCTAGTGTTAATAAATGACAGGCTAATCCGTTTAATCAAGGGGTAAAATAAGACACTGAATAGAAAACATGGGAATGCACGCTTTATGAGAGGAGAAACTCTTATCTGTCCATTATATCCCAGAGCCTAGAACAGTTCCTCACAGGTAATAGGCTTAATAAATATGCATTGAATGAATTGTCCTCTTAGTGATCAATGTGTACCTCCATGAAAATGCTATGAATTCAGTATCTCTGAAACTTAAACACATAAAAGCTTTAGGTGATGTTAGTTACACTGTTAACCAGGTTACTTTATCTCTTCTATTCACTCTTCCTATGACTGCCATATTGGATAAACCCATAGGCTACAAATGTTTATTTTTAATAAATTAATTAAAAGAAACTTTTCTAAGAGATTAAGGGTTTTTTTTGACAAATCTTTAATTTATTTTTCTGTATTTACTAACCTTGGTTCATTATTAGGAAATTTAGGCCACAGATTTGTATATCTTAAATATTACTAACTAAAACAATAAATATCTAAAACTAAGTTAACAAACTGAGAACTATGGTTCTAGACTTCCAAAACAATTAGCAGTGATATAGGTTCTTCAAAATGTGTATTGATCATAGGCAAATGTGGATACTATAGATGTGAGCTATAACTGGATTGAATAATATGAACTAAATATTGTTTAGCTCACGTTAACACAAAATTTTGTGGAGTATTTTTTTTTTAAACATACTGACTGCCAACAACTTAATAGTGGCTTACTTAACATAATGATTTTATGCTGGTCATTTACCTAAAATAAAGTTATAGGTTCTACCTTAAGGCATTTTTGAAGCGAGGTGATGAATAAAGAAACAAGCCAAACTTTCAATTCCAAACTACTTACCAGGGTTGCTATCGTTGGTGCTCAGTATTGCATCTGTGTCATTAATGTGATGAATAAAGTCTAAAAATTAAGGGGAAAATATAGTTTAATACTGAATGAAAGATGCTAAATCAGTCACCCTCTAAAGTCTTTTACTTATAAAAATCTTTTAAGATCTACTGTGTGGTAATATTACCTAGTACACTGAACAAAGGCTACTTCACTGTTAACATAGCTTTACCTTCTTCAGCTTTCTCTACTTACAGGAACAATGTCATTGGTGTCACAGTCCCACTGTGTTTTACATGATTGAAGATTTTTTAAAAAAACTACTCACAAGGCTGAATTTAGTTAAAAGCCCTGGAATAAAGACAGTGTGCACAATTTTTTTACCTATACGGACACTAATTTATATAAGTGTAGTTACATCTTACATAATAAAGTTCTAAAGTCTGCAAAAGGGGTAAAGCCAGTACTCATAACAGCTGAGTTTATCTGGAAAAACACTTAAAGTTTTTACAAAGTATAGGACGTGCTATTATAAACTGAAGGCTATATAGTAATTATTGCTCACAAGCACCATTAAGTAATAATAAAAGAAGTAGCAAAACAAAAAGCTAATGCAGATACCTGAGCATTCATGTCATTCTACAGTGAATGAGAGAATGGGTAAAGAATATGTTTTTACTTGCCTGAGGGAATTTACTTTATTCTGTTTGATGTTAACCTTTTATAACCTTAGTAAGCATTAATAAAAGTAATCTAAAACTTAAAAATAGGATGATAAAAAATGCTGGAGTAAGTTAAATATGTGAATTATTCATTCCATTGTACATTAAATATGTGAATTATATTGTAAGTTATATAAAAGTAAGTTAAATATGTGAATTATTCATCTCCATTGTAAAGTAAGTTAAATATGTGAATTATTCATCTCCATTGTACACCTCTCAGGATAGAATGAAAGAAGTAGTCTAGTGCTCTAGGTTTTTACAGTTATCTCCAGGGCTTATTAGTGATTTAAGATAGGAAGTTATGAATCTTTAAGGAATCCCTGGTGCCAAAGACTTACATAACGCTAGTAAAACCTTGATACCAAGTATACTGGGTTGAACTGTATTCTCCCCAAATCCATGTCCATCGGGAAACTCAGAATGTGAACATATTTGGAAACAGACTCTATGTAGAGATAATCAAGTTAACATTAGGTTATACTGGATTAGGATAGGCCCTAAATTTAGTGACTGGTGTCTTTAATAAGAACAGGAAATTTTGGACACAGAGACACTGAGGGGAGATGGCCATGTGAAGGCAGAAGCTGAAACTGGAGTGATACACCTACAACTCAAGGAATACCAAAGACTGCCAGCAGTCGATCACCAGAAACTAGAAAGAGGCAAGAAAGGCTTCTTCCCTAAAGGCTTCAGAAGGAGCAGAGAGCCCTACAGATACTTTGATTTTGGACTTCTAGTTTCCAGGACTGTGGGAGAGAACAAATTTCTCTTGTTTTAAGCCAAACAGTTCATGGTAATTTGTTACAGCAGCCCTAATACATCAAGGCTCAATGAGGACAGTATGAGAAAGAAAAACTCTAGGCCACTATCTCTTATGAAGAGACACAAAAGTTCTAAATAAAATATTACTCCCACTCCTCCCAAAAGTAAACTGAATCCAGTAAGAAAATTTAAAATAAACATCATGACTTACAAACTAATTTAAGTTTGTCCCAGAATATAAGTATGATTTAAATATTATAAAATGTATTCACTTAATTATCCATATTAACAATTTAAAGGAGAAAAGCTTTACAATCATTTCAAGAGATGTAGATTAAGTATTTAATAAAATCCAGCACACATTAATAAAAATGCTTAAGAAAACAATAGGCTAGAACATCTCTGAATTACTAAAGGGTACAACCCTTTGATCCTACAACTAATGCAATATGTAATGGTGAAACATTAGAAAGATTTCCTCAGGAACAATATAAGGATGTCTACCAGCACTGCATCCATACAACTTTATGGTTAAAAAAAGATAAATATATCTAGATGTATATATATGTAAACATATATACATGTGTGTGCATGTGCCTGTGTGTATATATGTACATATTAAATATAAATATATGCATACAGATATGAATCATTCAAAAAATAATAACTAGATAGGAAGAACTTTTCACTATTCATGGATGACATAACTACCTAAATAGAAAATCAAAAGTGAATCTACAAAATTATAAGCAATAAGAGTTCAACACATTTACTAGATTCAAGATAAATATTAAAAATTTAATTACGTTCTTTTATTATAACAGCAACAAATAACCTGAATTTTTTATACTTAAAAACTATATCATGAGAAGCAAGAAAAACTACAATTCTGCAGCCTGTGGAAGGAAAACCATTCACAGAAAGATAGACAAACGAAAAGGCAGAGGACTATGTAACAGATGAAGGAACAAGAAAAACCCTCAGAAAAACAACTAAATGAAGTGGAGATAAGCAACCTTCCAGAAAAAGAACTCAGAATAATGATAGTGAAGATGATCCAGGAGCTTGGAAAAAGAATGGAGGCAAAGATCGAGAAGATGCAAGAAATGTTTAACAAAGACCTAGAAAAAGTGAAGAACAAACACCTAGAAGAATTAAAGAACAAACAGAGATGAACAATACAATAACTGAAATGAAAAATATACTAGAAGGAATCAATAGCAGAATAACTGAGGCAGAAGAATGGTAAGTGACCTGGAAGAGAGAATGGTGGAATTCACTGCCACGGAAGAGAATAAAGAAAAAAGAATGAAAAGAAATGAAGACAGCCTAAGAAACCTCTGGGACAACATTAAACGCAACAACATTCACATTATAGGGGTCCCAGAAGAAGAAAGAGAGAAAGGACCCGAGAAAATATTTGAAGAGATTACAGTCGAAAACTTCCCTAACATGGAAAGGAAACAGCCCCCAAATCCAGGAAGTGCAGAGAGTCCCAGACAGGATAACCACAAGGAGAAACATGCCAAGACACATAGTAATCAAATTGACAAAAATTAAAGACAAAGAAAAATTATTAAAAGCAACTAGGGAAAAATGACAAATAACATACAAGGGAACTCCCATAACGTTAACAGCTGATTTCTCAGTAGAAACTCTACCAGCTAGAATGGAGTGGCACGTTGTATTTAAAGTGATGAAAGGGAAGAACCTACAACCAAGATTACTCTACCCAGCAAGGGTCTCATTCAGATTGACAGAGAAATCAAAAGCTTTATAGACAAGCAGAAGCTGAGATAATTCAGCACCACAAAATCAACTCTCCAACAAATGCTAAAGGAACTTCTCTAACTGGGAAACACAAGACAAGACAGGGACTTACAAAAACAAACCCAAAACAATTGAGAAAATGGTAATAGGAACATACATATTTGATAATTACTTTAAATGTGAATGGATTAAATGCTCCAACCGAAAACACAGGCTTGCTGAATGGATACAAAAACAAGACCCAAATATACGGTATCTACAAGAGACCCACTTCAGACCTAGGGACACATACAGACTGAAAGTGAGGGGATGCAAAAAGATATTCCATGCAAATGGAAATCAAAACAAAGCTGGAGTAGCAATACTCATACTAGATAAAATAGACTTTAAAATAAAGAATGTTGGGCTTCCCTGGTGGCGCAGTGGTTGAGAGTCCACCTGCCAATGCAGGGGACACAGGTTCGTGCCCCGGTCCGGGAATATCCCACATGCCGTGAAGCGGCTAGGCCCGTGAGCTATGGCCGCTGAGCCTGCGCGTCTGGAGCATGTGCTCCGCAATGGGAGAGGCCACAACAGTGAGAGGCCCACGTACCGCAAAAAAATAAAAATAAAAAAAATAAAGAATGTTACAAGAGACAAGGAAGGACATTACATAATGATCAAGGGATCAATCCAAGAAGAAGATATAACAATTATAAATATATATGCAACCAACAGAGGAGGACCTCAATACATAAGGCAAATGCTAACAGCTATAAAAGATGAAATTGACAGCAACACAATCATAGTGGGGGAGCAACACCTCACTTACACCAATGGACAGATCATCCAGACAGAAAATTAATAAGGAAACACAAGCTTTAAATGACAAAGTAGGCCACATAGATTTAATTGACATTTATAGTACATTCCATCCGAAAACAGCAGATTACACTTTGTTCTCAAGTGCACACGGAACACTCTCCAGGACAGATCACATCTTGGGTTACAGATCAAGCCACAGTAAATTTAAGAAAATTGAAATCACATCAAGCATCTTTTCCGACCACAACGTTGTGAGATTAGAAATAAATTACAGGGAAAAAAAACGTAAAAAACACAAACAGGACGTCCCTGGTGGTGCAGTGGTTAACAATCTGTCTGGCAATGCAGGAGACACAGGTTCAAGCCCTGGTCTGGGAAGATCCCACATGCCACGGAGCAACTAACCCATGAGCCACAACTACTGAGCCTGTGCTCTAGAGCCCATGAGCCACAACTACTGAGCCTCTGTGCCACAACTACTGAGTCTGCGCTCTAGAGCACGTGCTATGTGACAAGAGAAGCCACCGCAATAGGAAGCCTGTGCACCGCAATGAAGAGTAGTCCCCGCTCTCCGCAACTAGAGAAAGCCTGCGCACAGCTATGAAAACCCAATGCTGCCAAAAATAAATAAATAAAATAAATAAATTAAAAAGAAAAAACACAAACACATGGAGGCTAAACAATACGTTACTAAAAAACCAAGAGATCACTAAAGAAACCAAAGAGAAAATCAAAAATACCTAGAGACAAATGACAATGAAAACACGATGGCCCCAAAACCTATGGGATACAGCAAGAGCAGTTCTAAGAGGGAAGTTTATAGCACTACAATCCTACCTCAAGAAACAACAAAAATCTCAAACAATCTAACCTTACACCTAAAAGAACCAGAGAAAGAAGAACAAACAAAATCCAAAATCAGTAGAAGAAATCATAAAGATCAGAGCAGAAATAAATGAAATAGAAACAAAGAAAACAATAGCAAAGATAAATGAAACTAAAAGCTGGTTT